AAAAGGCATCTTTCAAAATATATTAGCAATAACTCCAGATTTGTACTCTTACCTCTCGTTTCTACTTTATCACTCTCTTCACCCTCTCCACCACCACCACCATCCCATCACCAACCCCACCACCTACTCCAAATAAAATGCAAACTCCCTGAGGACAAGAACTTTTAAGGTTTCTTGTCTTTGGGTCCCCTGGTTGAATACGGTGCCTTACATATACTTGGGGCTCAATAAACAGTCATTAAATTAAACAAAATGACAAATGCTATGGTCTAATGTTTCATTATTTAATATGTAATTCAATGGTCAAATAAATTTAAACTTGAGACAGCATATTTGTTCTATATTCACTTGAGTGTCAATCATTAGCACATTCTTTACAGTTATTACTAACATTTTTTTGATTGGATGCTAATGAGCTACTTAGATTTGTGTAATGGTTTCATAAGATATAATCGCTTTTGCTTACAGTAGCATCTCATTCGTCTGGCCTCATCCTGCAGTGAGAGGCTCTGAATGAGTGTTTTCCCATCTGATGGTATACCAGCAGAACAGAAGCTTTGGATTGTTCTACTCTAGTGGAAAGATTTCAGGTACAGTCTCAGCAATGGAAGGAATCTGCTTTCTGAGGGCCAACTTAGCTAAGTACAGAGAAACTTATCACTGGTAGGCTACAATCTTAGAGACTTATCCTCTAGTCATGGTGGAACACAAATCAAAGAGAAATACAAAATGGGCCTTGATGCTCTACAGCACCTTTCTGCTTCCAAAGAGACATTGGCAGCATGATAGAAAAGGGAGTAATGGGCTCTAAGAATCACAGATTTTTAGACTGTTTATAAGCTTTAACTTAGCTGTTGGTACTTTAAATGTGAGGTCCTATCTAATGACCAATCAATGGCTATACTAATACAAGGGGTAAAACTTATCTGTTTTGGTGGTCTCATTATTAATGAAAACTAAAGGCAGAAGAAAATTGAAACTAAATGGAAGGATTGCTCCCAGGTTCTCCTTGGATATGAAAATAATAATAATAAGCTAATACTTATATAGTGCTTATTATGTGCCAGGCACTGAACTGAAAACTTTACAAATGTTATCTCATTTGATCCTCACAACAACCCAGGAAGGTAAGTGCTATTATTTTCCCCATTTTACGCACAAGAAAACTGAGACAAATGGGTTAAATTACTTGCCCAGGGTCATATAGCTAGTAAATGTCAGAACCCAGATTGGGATTCAGGTCTTTTTGACTCCAGGCCCCATTCTCTATTCACTGCACCACCTCACTGCCCCCAAATGAAGGAATGAAATGAAATAAAATAAAATAAAATAAAATAATAAAATAAAATAAAATAAAATATAGCTAATTTTATCCTGCATCCAAAGGCAACAAGAAATATCATTTGGTGGGACATGTGGTGATCATGGATTGTTGTGCTTATGTTAAGTATTTTTTTAAAACCACAAAAATAATTACAGCTTAGGCACCAAAATCTCTTGCAGAAGATGAAGAGGTAGAGAAATTCTACAAAGATTGTTAAGACCCTCCAAATATATACACACACATATATATATATATATATATATATATATATATATATATATATACAGTATATACTTTGCTGTTTGGAGAACTTGATGCAAAGGTGGGAATAGGTGAGGATAATAAAATTAAAATTGACCATGTATCATTTTCTTGTTGATCTTATTTACAATTACTTGATTTTGCCCTGTAATTCCTTTTGTCCTGTAACTGTTTAACTCATGGTTCTTTGTCTCTGAACTTAGTCAAGTTAAAAAACCCAGTTTTCTTGCCTCAAAGAATTTTGTTAACCTTGAGAAATATGTGTGAACAGAAAGAGAATTGGGCCTGATATCTTTACACCACCAAGCTATCCTTCTGTCAGGTTTACTGTCCAAAAGTCTGGGCCACTATCTCATACCTACAAAGAGCACTTCTTAGTCTCACAAGAAGAGAAGCGGAGTCATTGCTAGCCCAACAATTTCCAACCAATCATGTTGTTTGTTCCCCGTGCCTCAGCTCTGTAACCAATCATGTTGCCCTTAATTCCGTGATGTCATCTACCTTGCTCTGTTCTTTGTCCTGTACTCCCCAAAATCCTATATAAGGGGAAGTATACTTTTGCTCAGGATCTTTGGCATTAATGGAGACAAACCACAGGCCCATTTATTGATAGGTAGCATGCCCCTACTAATAAATGTTATCTTGCGCAAAGATCTGCCTCAGTTTACCTTTTTGTTAAAATCTCAACTATGACAATAGTGAGGTAGCTAATTGAAATAGCACTGGATTTAGAGTGAGGAAGTTATTGTTCAATCATTTTTCAGTCATGTCTAACTCTTCATGCCCCCATATGTGGTTTTCTTGGCAAAAATGCTAGTTTGTCATTTCCTTCTCCAACTCATTTTACAGATGAGGAAACTGAGGCAAACAGGGTTAAGTGACTTGCCCAGGGTCATGCAGCTATTAAGTGTCTGAGGCCAGATTTGAACTCCTGAAGATGAGTCTTTCTGACTCCAGGCCTGGCAGTCTAACTACTACACCACCTAGCTGCCCATATATTTTAATTTCTTCCTACTCTTAGTTGTTGACCTAAAGTGAGGAACACAAGTTCAAATCTGACCTCAGTTACTTACTAGCTGTATGACTCTGGGCAAGTCCCTTAGCTTCTGTCTGCCTCAGTTTCCTCATCTGTAAAATCAGGATAATAATGATACCTACCTGTCAAAGTTGTTGTAAGGTTTAAGTGAAATAATATTTCTAAAGCACTCTGTAAATGTTAAATCACTATATAAATGCTAGCTAAATGTCAGAAAATATAGATCAGGAGTAAGGAATGAGAGAAGCCAAAAATTTGTATGTAAACTATGGAGAAGCGTTTTGTCTTATTATTAGCAATAATAATAGCCACTATTTATATAATACTTTAAGGTTTTCAAAATACTTTACATAATCATCTCATCTGATCTTTGCAAAACTGTGAGATGGAGGGGCAGCTAGATGGTGCAGTGGTTAGAGCACCGGCCCTGGAGTCAGAAGGACCTGAGTTCAAATCCGGCCTCAGACATATAACACTTCCTAGCTATGGGACTCTGGGCAAGTCACTTAACCCCAATTGCCTCACTAAAAAAAAAAAAAGGGAAAAAAGGGAAAAAAAACCTGTGAGATGGATGCTAATATTATATCCATTTTACATTAGACGAAAGTAAGACTGACAGAGGTTAAGTGAGTTGTGCAAGGTCTTATACAGCTACCAGATATCTGAGGCAGAATTTACACTCACATCTTCCTGACTCCCAGGCCAGGATCTAATCTGTGTTACCTGGTTCTCTGAGAAAATAATAAGAAGGCACTGGATGTGGTAGGCACCAAATAATATTAAAATTAAATCGATCATATTATAACAAATAGAAAATTTTTCATTATTGATGCAGAAGTTATCCATGAACTAGCTGTCTGTATAAAGTAGTATGACTGATTTGTTAGTACAAAGATTAAAATTAGCACAAAACTAGAAGAATAAAAATGAGAGGAAGAAATGCCTTGCGATTAAAATTATTTCACCCTCACTTTTTTTAATTGTACAAATTGTTTATTTTGAGGAACTAAAGGTTCTCAGTGATTTGCTCTCCTTCCCATCAATTGATTAAAGTAAAAAAAAAGTCTTAGAAAAACTATGAATAAACAAAACATCAGAAAGAAATTGGATAGATTAATAAGGCCTTTAAAAAAGACTGGAAGGCCCCACTCCCCCCATTTAGAAAAGAAAGTAATATGCTCACACCACTGGAGAATTGCAGAGGCAGTCAAAGGCTTATGAAAATGGCAGGGAGAAAGTATTCACTTTAAAAATCAGTTAATAAGAGATTCAACTTATTCTCTTATGTAAGGCAGACCTTTTGATCTAAGATCAAAGCAAGGGCTCCTAGATGACAGAAGGTACAGATACCCCTGGAAGATCCAGGTACAAAAATCTGCCATTAAGAATAGATCTAGGAGCAGCTAGCTGGCACAGTGGATAGAGCACCGGCACTGGATTCAGGAGGACCTGACCTCAAATCCAGTTTCAGACACATGACACTTACTAACTGTGTGACGCTGGGCAAGTCACTTAACCCCATTGCAAAAAAGGAAAAAAGAATAGGTCTACAAACAAGGGGAAAGGAAAATTGGCTTGACTGATACGCACTTGCGAGAGGTCAAATCAAGTCCAATACCCTTTTCAAGTTGCAGTTTAATGAGGCTTTCCCTGGCTTTTGCAGGAAAGAGGTAAAAAATCCTCATAGGATATCTGCCAAACAACATATCATGGAGGCAAACTTAGAAGGACAGACATAGATTTAACACCCTTTTTCTTAAATATTAGCAGTGCTCCTAGAAAAGGTAAAGGTCCTGTGTCATCAGTCTATAATTTAAGGACTCTGTGAGCCAAATGATCCATTTTCTTTTCTGAAACACAAGTTGTATCCCTTTACCAGACAAGGAAGGGGGAGCATTCCTTGGGCAGCAGTCCAACACAACATTCACATGAGTTTTTAGTCCCCAGGTGACACTGTCAAGGGCTACTGCAGCAGGACCATCCCTAGATGCACATTTGCCCACCAAAACACAGATGTTTCTAGTACCCATGAAGATCCTACCCCTTCCCCATTTTCTTTCACCCCATCAAAGATTCTCTCATATTTGGAACTAATTCTTGGATGCAAACCTAGAGAATTCCTTATTGCTCCCATAAGATTTATTTTCTCTATTCCCTGAAAGGCTCTGTGTCCCCTGATCCTGTGTAGCCCTAGCTGTTTCTAGAAGATAAGTTTGCGTAGAGAGCTACATGAAAATCTTCACATAAATCATCAACCCTTTCCCTCCCCTGCTCACCCCAACTTGTACTAATTAGAAACTATAAACCTTGACACTCTAAAAGAAGAATTTCTAGTCTGAAGACATTGGTATTAGTTTCCATTAGTAGAAAGATGCTGGATATGCCACCTGGTGGGTTGAGGACTTTGTTGTGTGAGTGAGGCCTGGGGCCCAACATGGGCTCATAATTGTCAATCTTGAGTTTAGACTCAGTTTCCTTGGCTCATTCCTCTTTTCTTTTGTCACATTTCTCATCATGTTCTTCTCTTGAAGATTGTGTATTCTCTGTAGTTCTGAGTTGTAATTTTGTGTCCTCACATTCACATGAGACAGTATGATCCTTAATCTTGTTTGGGTGTGCTAAGAGCACAGGATTGGTGACTAGAGACCCAAAGATATCACTGGTCTTTGCCACCGGTAAAACCATTGCTTGAATATTACAAATATGTGTGTGCTTATAAACAAAATCGATATGACACTAACAAGAACAAGATGGGAAAAGTAGCTGGAGTAGATGAAAGTATATGAAGGAGAACCAAGCTGAATGGTGAGGAATCAATTCATGAAGAATCTGAAGAAAGAACAAGAAAAAAAATGGACTCTATAAACTGTCCATTTAAAGTAACTGAAACAACATCAACAACAGATATATGCTCACTTTCTCCTTTTTATAAAATAGATCTTCTGTTTGCCTCACTTTCCTCATCTGTAAAATGGGGATAATAATAGCACCTACCTCCCAGGGTTATTGTGAGGATCAAATGAGATAATAATTGTAAAGCACTTAGCACAGTGCCTGGCACGTAGCAAGCATTCTATCAATGTTATCTATCATCATCTATCATAAAATTTTGTTATAACAAATATTTGATTATCATAATTATTTATTACAGCCTACTCATTGATGATATCATCTGGGAAGATTTTGGAAGAGAAGCAAAGAAATTAAGTCCTTAAGCCATAGTTAAGCTAGAGGCTCAAAGCTATCAATTCTTTTGCATTGTGTACATATAAGAAGAAAGGTAGTAAAAGGGATAAAAGTATGCATCAAATGCTATTTGTACTGAAAACACAACAAGATACTAATATCATGCGTTTGGAGATTTTTCCAATTGTTATAGTCTTCCACCTAAGGATCCTTGAGACTGTACGTTTTGTTCTGTCTTGTTTATACTACGATAGGGTCTTTCAGCTTATTTCCTTGAAATAAAGAATTCTATCCTGATCTGTAACATATTACACGTAGCTGCCAAGATTACTTGTAAGTACGTATAAAAGGTATGTATAAATGCTACCAGATCATGTCTGTTACTCATAGCTCTCTCCATAGTGTCACTATTTATATAGAAATCGCTCTCCTTGCAACAGCATGATTTATTTAATAAATCTTTGATTTTATTAGAGCTGATCTTAAACCCAACACAGAATAGTTCTTGGTTCAATAATAATCAACAGGAAGAAGTTTGCAAATAATATTCCACACTGTATCACACAACTGACTGAAAGATGTAAAGAATACATGATTTTGCTTATTTTTTTAAGCCTTTTATTTAGTAGTGCAAAAGTATGCCTTAAAAGCTGTTTTCCCCAAAAATGTGTCCCATCCTCATATTGATATTTTTCAAGATTCCTCAGAAGGTATCGCAACAGAGATAACTTTGTTCAAGGCTCTCTCTGCTCGTTATCATCCAGTCAGGCATAAAACAAGAAGACATGCTCACCAAAGGTACCATAAGGAAAGAGATACAGGTTGGAGTCCAAGTTAAAGAAGGATTTTTTCTATCTGGGAAGGTCTCTACCATGCTCCCTATTTTCATATGACACCTTGTTAGTACCATCAATACTGCAGAATACTGCAGAGCCTCATAGAAGAGATCCATAACCACTGAAAAGAGATTGATCTAACCATCCACATTGGGGAAAAAAGGTGGATAATAATGTCTATAGCTTGTCCATCCATGTGTGTATACATATGTGTACATACATGTATATAATGTATATTCATATATACAATGTATATGTATGTATATATGTGTGTGCCCCTTGCACATAGTACAAACAGAATTAGATGAACAGAGAAAGAGCTAGCTGCTTTTCAGAAACTACGAAGCTTCTTTAATGACCCCAAACTTCTCCCAGGAACAAAGGCACATATTTTTAACACCAGTATTCTACTGGTGAGTCATGGGATGCTACAGTCTGAGAAAAATAAAAAATGAAATCACTCAGAGGGCATATGGTAGATGTAAGCAAGCTGCAACAGAAAACAAGAAGCTAGGAAGATGAACCAAAGAATACATGAAAGAATTGTATGATTGAAAAAGATGGGTTTACAAGTAGAGAGAATGCGGGTAGCCATTAAATGGCTCGTATTTTTCCACTGGTATTCTCACAATGTCAGGAGAAATTGGAGAAGCCCCCTTCCAATGAGGTGGACTCTCTATTGTGAGAACTTAGACAAATAATCTCAAGCATTAAATAGATTGGAGTTGTGATCTACATTGAAGGACAGAGCACCCACCTTGATGAGATTACTGATGAGATTTGAATAAGTATTTAAATAATTAAAGTTGAGCCTTTTATTGCCCAAAAGTTTTTTGAGATTTTTAATTGAGATCTTTCTGAAATATAACATATATTCCCCTGCCATTACAAACAGTATGCTGAACTTAAAATTTGTGTCGGTCAACCAGAGTCAATCATTATTGTAAACATCAATGATTGGGTTGTGCTGTGATATAGTAATGCCTTCAGGTTTGTTATGGAAGCCTCCCATAACAATGATTTGTTTTATCCTAAGCTTCAAACCATTAACAAAAAAACAAATATTCAAATAAGCAAATAAAATAAAAACTGATCATACATAAAAGTTAAAGGAGAAGTCTTTATTAATGTATTACTTTATTATTACACCTGCTGGGTGTAAGGCACTGTGTTAAGTGCTTTACAAATTCTTTGTCTTCAAAAAGATTGAAATACACAAAAGGAAAGAATTGAGCATTTATTAAGTGCCTACTATCTATTAGGCACTATGCTTAGTGCTTTACAAATATTATCTTATCTGATCCTCACAACAACCCTGGGAGATAGGTGCTACTAGTAGCCCCATTTTACAGTTGAGGAAACTTGTTTGTTGCTGTTGTCTGTCCTTCTGGAAGAGGATCATGGCATGAGGAAGGTGATACCACAACTTGCAAGTGAATTGGATTTAAGTTAGGGAGGGCTGTGCAAAGTCACTAGCCTCACTTTCTCTTCTGGAGTCATTTGGGTCCAGGGGCAAGATATAGATCAGGATGACTGGAGATGGCACCAGCAGGTAGCAGGTGACTTACTTTCCCAAAGTAATCTAAGACAGGATTTGAACTCAGGTCTTACTTCCAAGCTCAGCTCTCTAAACCGGTGTGCTACCTAGGATCCTTGGTAAGAGACACAAATGACATATACCAATATAAGAAAAGGTGTGGTGTTATATGAGTGTGTTCAGGGGACTCCAGTATCAATTTGATGACATTACAAGACACACACCATTTTTTGCGGGCAATTTATGCCTAAGCTTTTTTGTGGGGGAACCTCATACATCCTTTAGGAGGAGTTTTGCTTTATTTTTTGTTTGTTTCAAGAATTCCCAAAGTTACTTTTAGATATCTAAAATTTTGTTTGTTTGTAGAGAAATGTGCCCCATACACACAAGTGTCTTGGAATACACACAAAATCTCCAATAAATGTATGTACAGCTTATCTGCTCATTTAAAAGCCAGCCAAACTTTAGTCCTCAGAATATACCAAGCCATTGATAGATTTCTACTTTTGGCATCCAAAATAATCCCTATTACTTTCTTCTTTAATTTTTTTTCAATTAATGAGCATTTATTTTCTCTCCCTACACCCTACCCTGAGTGACATAAAGAAACAAGAAAAGAAAACCCTTGTAAGAAATATACATAATTTGCGGCAGCTAGGTGGCACAGTGGATAGAGTTCTTGCCTTGCAGTCAGGAGATGCTGAGTTCAAATCCAGCCTCAGACACTTGACACTTACTAGCTGTGTGACTCTGGGCAAGTCACTTAACCCTAATTGCCTCACCAAAAGAGCAAAAACATATACATACATACATGCATAACATACATACACACACACAGATATATATATATATAGATATAGATATATAGATATATATAAAATCAAACAAAACAAATTCCCATATTGGCCATATAAAATGTTTGTCTCTTTCTACATCTTAAAGCTGTCGTTTTTCTGTCAGTCGGTAGTAGAATTCATCATCCTTGGTCCTCTGAAATCGTGGGTGGCTGTAGCACTAATCAAAGTTCTCAAGTCTTTAAAAGCTTTTTTCTCTTTACAACATTTTTGTTATTGTGTAAATTGGTTTTCTGGTTATGGTTATTTCACTTTGTATCAGTTCATACAAGTCTCAGATTTCTCTGAAACTATTTTGCCTTTATGGCACAATGGTACTCTATTACATTCATATATCATAACTTGTTCAGTCATTCCCCAATGAACGGGTATACCCTTATTTTCCAGTTCTTTGCCGTTACAAAAAAAAGTACCATATTTTTGTGCACAAGGGTCCTTTTCTTCTGTCTTTGATTTCTTTTGGCTATAGACCTAGTATTGGTATGTATCAACATGTCAAAGGACGTGCACCTCTAAGTTACTATTAGAGTAACAAACACTCTTACATTCTGGTAGAATGCCCTTCTCCCATAGGGTCATACATGGTTCTTTCCAGATTCATAGTATCACCTTGTTACTTACAAAAAGGTAAACATACTTTGGCAGCTACTAAACAAGCAATTTCCTTTACTTAGGACCTATGAGGTCTGAGTAACCCATTAGCTTTGCTCTCTTGGTAGGATGCTGCACAGAAACTATGTTGGCAATTATCTTGTTTCTTCAAGAAACATACTACATCAGTCTTCTTCATTCTTGCAGGACTGGTGCCTAAACTCAGATGCTCCTGAAGTTGGAATTACCCACAAGGCATTTTGAAAGGCTGGCACTTTTAAAAATTATTTATTTAGTATTTTTCCTCAATTACAGGAAAAAAACAATTTTAACATTTGGGTGTTTTTAATTTTGAGTTCCAAATTCTCTGCCTTCCTCCCCTCCTCCCTCACTGAGAAAGCAAGCAATTTGATGTAGGTTATACATGTGCAGTCATGCAAAACATATTTCCATATTAGTCATACTGTGAAAGAAAATATACACCACCATCACCCAAAAATCAAGGAAAAAAAGTTTTTAAAAACATGCTTCAATCTACATTCAAACTCCATTTAGCCCACCTGCTAGGTGTGGGGGTGGTATGTCAGAGTTGTTTTGATTTCTCTAATCAATAGTATTTTAATTTCCATTTCTCTAACCAATAATGATTTAGAACATTTTTTCATAGGATTATAGGTAGCTTTAATTGCTTTATCTAAAAACTGTTTATATCCTTTGACCATTTATCATTTGGTGAATAGATCTTATTTTTACAAATTTAACTTAGTTCTCTATATATTTGAGAAATGAGGCCTTCATGAGAGAAACTTGCTATAAAAAAACTTT